GTGTGATAGGCCTCAGGCCCTTTTACAGTATAAATAAATATACATTTTTAGTGCTTTAAATAAGGCGAGACTTTTTTTTATACCGGTACCTTAATTGTTTAGCGAACCCTCCGATTCCGAAATTGTGGATTTCAAAATAAAAATAAAATTTTATTATAAGTGTGTTAGCGTACGAGCCGCCATGAAAAATTGAAAAAAAAGAAATAAAAATAAAAATTTATATTTATTTTTCCGAAAATTTAAATCTTCCTAATTTTCACGGAACTCCATCTCCCGCGGGGGGGGGGGGGTTCGAGGGTTCGTCCCTAAATACTGGTTTCGGAATTATGAGCGTACTTAACAGACAATAGAGTCTTATTATTTGTTATTTATTTATTTATTTATTATTTTTAATACTACTAACTATTATTATTATTATTATTATTATTATTATTGTTGTTATTGTTCTTCTTATTATTATTTATTAATATTATTGTTATTGTAATTATTACTGTATTTATTCGAATAAACGCCCCGGGGAGTTTATTGTTGATAGGGTTTTGAGGAAGTTAAATGGATACGCATATACTAAAATAAATGCCCTTAATTTCACTTTAAATGTAGAACACATAATTACCAGGCGTTCAAAATGTGTTATTGCGTAATCAAAAATAACAATTATTGATCCCAACTAGGTTGTAAGAAATATAATTATACAGGGGAACATTAATAGAATGTGTTGAGAATGATGTTGTCTCCATTAGGTTTTTGTTTACAGTCATTTATGGGGTGCGTTTATTCGATGGAAAGATATAGGCCTAAATGCCAGGGGCATTTATTCGAGTGAGGCGGTTATTCCAAATGAAGCTCTGGGGGAATTTATTCGAGAGTTTTTGTTGAAAGAGGGGCATTTATTCAAATAAATACGATATTTGTTTATTATTATTATTTCTATTCATTTATTATATTATTGCCGTTACAGTACTAATTGTTGTAGGTTAAATTGTGATTTTCGTTATCCCTATTGTTAAGATTTTAAATGCTTTTATTCTTTAAAATGTATTGTTATCGTTATTGTCATCGTCAACGTCATTCTTTTAAAAGTTTAATTTTTGTTTTAATTTTTAATTATAAACATGCATCGTCACATATAAGAATAACATGAGTATTTTCCAGGAACAGAATTAGCTTAAAATTGACAGCAGGTAAGTTGAACAGGATTAAATATAACAAAAAATTGGACCGGATCATTTCTGGAAAGGCTACATTTAAAACATTGCGGTTGATATAGGCTGGGCAATAGAGGAAGTGACCCAGTTATTTCTAAAAGCGGGTTTTTAACTGAATAGTTGATTACCTACAGTGGTAAAAATAAAACGTACTGAATTTTAAGAAGACTTATTAACGGTCTCATGGTGTAAGGTGATTAACGTAATTAACTTACAGTAATATTGATCTTGAGTATTTTCTTAAAGGCCAGGACCTAGATACAAAGAAAAAAAAAACATCTCCTGAACATGTATGCATTTTTTATTTCTACATGTGATAACGTTGCTTCTCATATTTCCTTCCATACTGGTGGCAGGTGAGTGGATGAGAATTTCCCTCAGCAAACAGGCATGACCCCTTGCCGTCGAAAGCAATTGGTCGTTGGAATGAACATTACAAATCCAATTTGAATTAATTAGCGTAAAGTAGTAAAGCATAACTTTATAAACCAAATACCAAAATACACCGTGACCATGACTGAACTGATTTTTTCTTTCTATTATTTTTTATTCGCTTAGGCATATTCTATTCATGGGGGAATAGTTTAGACTAAACTAAACTATTTCCTCCATGTTCTATTTTAGGAAATATTAATGCGCAGTACGATAAATTGTTCATTAATTACGATTATGACATACCGAATGCCAGGATTGCAGAGAGCAATCCATTCCATCGGGAAATGTAAAAATAATTAACGAATTGCGCCCTCAATACCAAATCAGACGCGGGTGTATGGAGGAATACAAATCGATGAGAAGAAACAAAATACAAAGTATTTTTGTTGCATTTGCACCAGCACGTCACGCCTCAGTCATGATCACACCATCCTAATGCAAATTTAGGCATGCAGGTAACATTTCTGAGTCTGAAATTTTGTTCTTATGGCCGTTGTAGCTCTACCAAATCATGCAAACAAGTAGGCCTAGGCTAGGCCTGGCCGCCTGGCCGCCTGGCCTATTTATTTGTCTAGTAGGGCCTAGGCCTAGGTAGTGGCCTAGGGCCCTACAGTACACTACCCTATCCTACTACTACCACTACGACTAGGCCTAGGCTAGCACTGTCTATATCTCGGGTGGAGTGGACTTCAATCACCTACCCTCTAGTAGGCCTACAGTAGTTAGTGCTGCTATCTGTGATCTAATGGGGCTGACAGTGACAACAAATTTAAAAAACAAGGAATTTCTTGGCAACTGGTATCATTTTAAAGAGCATTAAAATAGCATTAAATTGATATTAAGATCATTGTCCTCTGTCAAATAGGCTATTAACAAATTAAAATAATTTACAAAATTGTTGGCTTGCCTAATTTTTGTCCTTTAAAACCAATGGAAAAATGTGACCTTTTTCCTGAAAAATGTACAAAAACTGCTTTAACTTCTTTGTTTTTAGACATATTTCAATAAAATTAAAAGCATTTGAAAGCATACAAGGACATTAAAATTCAGTCATTTATTAATTAAATAAAATAATTCAATTAATTAATTACAAGTAACTAATTAATATTATAAAAGTTAATATTATCCGAAGTTGAGAGTTTTGATGACATATATAACAAATCTGTACTTTAAAAAAGATTAGTTAAATTTAAAAAAAGCATTTGAAAGCATACAAGGACATTAAAATTCAATCATTTATTAATTAAATTATTAATAAATTAATTAATTACAAATAACTAATTAATATTATAGAAGTTAATATTATCCGAAGTTGAGAGTATTAATGACATATATAACAAATTTGTACTTAAGAAATTAGACATCATTATTAAAGATCTTTCCCACCCCATGCATCATGAATACACATTTAACAGATCTGGCCGCCTACACCCTAAAAAGTGCAATACTAATAGATTAAGAAATTCATTCACTCACAACTCAATTTATATCTATAATGCTAACTTAAGCACTTATTATTATATTATATTATTAATATTACTCCCAGTCATTGAATCAAGCACATGGAACACACACCTCCCTGAGAAGAATTCCATAATGTTGCTGCTGTATTTTGAGTTTGAACTACCGTACCAGGTAGCCACTTGTACTCGCGGATGGAGAGAGACAAACTTAGGTAAAGTGCCTTGCCTACTGTAAGGACACAGGTGAAATGCACAGAGAACCTCCGACCTCAAGGTTAGGAAGCAACTGCTGCAACAAACTGCTCCAAATTTTGTTTGTGTGACAATTGTAGCCTGCCTGACTTTCAGGTTGGAGTTATGAGTTACAGTAACCTTAACATATAAACAATGTATTATGCAGTAATTGCGATTCCGTGCACCATAGTTTAAAATGTTTTTATCGTGCGGATTAATTAGTAGTTAATAGACCAATATGACTCGAGTGAATGCTTTTCAAGATATTGTACTGTACAAGATGACCCAACATGGGTACACAAGTCTAAAAATTTAGGTATTAATTTTGGTCAAGTTCATGTCAAAAGAAGTACTGTAGGTCAAAGTAGAACTATAACACTTTTTAATAGGCCAATGTAGAGAGTTTGTTTTTGGGTATAAGATTCAAGACATGCCAAGACTATAAATCTCTTTTTGCCTGACTGCTTTTATTGCATTGCACAGAGGTGCACCTTGTTAAGACATGCCTACCTAATACACTGCTAATATTAATAATGAACTTATATATTTTGTGTTCCTTCTACTCAGCAATATACAGTAGGAATATATACGTGGGTACCTGGGGTTGGGGGGATGTATGACTTTAGATCGGCCGTTTGATGTTCCAGCTGCAGATCTACTGTAGGAATAGTCCCTAGTTGGTAAGTGAGCAGAAAAGGTTGCACAATTGCTTTACATGGACTTGCAAAAAGGCCACCTTTTGCGAGGCTGTGAGATACTGGGGTGTGTCCAGATATTTGCAGTAGTGGGTGGGGGGGGGGTGTGCAGAAAGAAAAAAGGGCACTTTTATATAAATGACATTAAGCTTAAATGATATGGAAACCGTCTTCTGTCCTGTCACCCTCGCATCTTTTGAGAGACTTGAAAGCCAAAAATAATAAATTAGCCTGAAAATTATTCTCATAAAATTAATGATCCTCCCACCTCCCAACCCTGCAAAAGAAGTTAAAAAGCTGCTAAATATTTACCAACATCTGTACATTTTTTTATCCCTGAAAAAGTGCTCGAACATGTTAAGGGGGGGGGGGTCCGGATGTCAGCGACCATCACATACTCTAAATCCGCCCCAGGATTATCATAATGTTTAATAATCATTCTGTGAAGCCCAGTTGGTCAAATACTGCACAAGTATTTCTACGTGTACCAGATTAATGCTCTAGGCACAATACTGAATACTGTTACGTCTTTTAACTATAATTTTAGAAAGACCTTTGCAAATTAAAGACAAATACCTTTTAAATAAAGAAGAACTTATGAGCCAATAAATTTGTTTTAGTGTTGACAAAAACAGGAAAGATACTCTAGAATATATAGTAAAAACTGGATTATTACATAGTACATGCTAAAACGTTGTGATGATTCCTTATTTGTCGTGTATTGACTTATTTCACTTTCAGTGATTAATATGGCCATTTTAAAATATATAATTCCATTATATTTAGTGAACATACGCATTTGTATTAGCCGCACTCAATGAAGACCGAATATTTGCTCGCCTTCTTCAACTATACTAACGTAATTTGAATAATGAATTTTCACATGTGTTTCACTCATTTAATATTTTATAGATTCGTGTTTAAAGTGTAAAATATTTTTTTTTTACCATAATGGACATATAGTACTGTAAATTGTAACACAAAATTGCCAATAATGGTAATGATAAAGACACTTAAATGAATTGTGCTACAATATTTTTCTTCAAGATCTGCGCACGTCTAGATGGTAAATTGTCTCAAACTTTTGGTCCTTACTCAAATGATCAAGATATATGTGTCAAAGACATGCCAAACCAGTCACTCATCGCAAATCCTGTTTCGGAGATAATGGCCAAAGCATGCTGGAATGTAAAAATGTTTGAAATCTATTTTATTGCACTAAAACTAACCTCCATATACTGTACATCATGCTATGCTGTTCTTTTTTCCTATTTTCAGTGTTAAAACAACCATTTTTTGGTGATGGTTTCTGCCTAAGAAATGCCCAAAACCGTAAACTTTAAAGGATGTTATTCTTTAAATAGCTGTAGACCTACTCCTGTAACTTCATAATGAAAAGTTGGATTTAAATGATTATTTTACCATTTTATAGCTATCATTTTACTGTTTAACCCTGTATTAATAAACTAAAAATCAATTTTTGCGACGAGAGAATGGTTTGGCTTGTCTTTGCCACTTATTGCGTCATGAGCACCGTGGTGGATCAAGCTATGCAAGCTTCCACCTTATAAGCTTGGATGGAGGCGGTTTGGCGCGGTGGGAACAAGTTTGGTTTCCCAACCTCTCATTGTGCATTTCGCTTGTATCCTTGAGCAAGGCACTTTATCTGCATTGCTTCTCTCCACCAGGAGTATAAATGGGTACCTGGTAGGGTTGCCTGTTCTTAAAGCATGTGGACCCAGTGACCAGGGAAAAGAACTGTGCTTTATAACCTCAATGAAGAGGCGCATTATAAATGTCCATACAAGTACCAGTACCATTAATATGATAATTATTATTTTCATTGCTGCTGCTGTTAATAATGGTGATAATATTTGATGTTGAGATGGTTTTTTTTTTAGTTGTGGTTATGGTTTTTTTTTTTTTTTAGCTGTGGTTTGGTTAGTAGCTTATCATCAAATCCTAAGTTGTTGGGTCAATCCTGGTATCAGCTTTGCTGGATTGATTAACCTTGTTAAATATTTATTTCCTATAATTCAAATTTCTGGCCTTAAAAAAAAAAATCAAAAGATAAACCTACGCCTACACAGAATGAATATCATCAATTTTCAAAGAATATCAAGACTTCAACATTTTTATAGCTATACACTTGTGCATATTATATTTGCCTCTGTGCGGTGGAAAGTTACTGTCCACTGAAGCCCGGTTTCCATAGAATCATTCACCCTTACGGTGATAGTCGTTGACAGCTGTTTGGAGGGTTGAACCTGGTTCAACTTTTGCCGATTGTGCTGCAGACGAATCAGGGTGCATTGCTAACTGCCCTGACGCAATTGGGAAGGCACCATGATTCGTCTGCAATGCAATTGGCAAAGTTAAACCTAGTTCAACATTCCCGACAATTGGCGATTTTATGGAAACTGATCTTGAGGGTAGGCTGTGCTTTTACTACTGTACCTGTAGATAGCATAAGAAAAGTGTATTTCTAGTTATTACCATATTTAAAAAACTTGTTATATATTTTTTTCCTTTTCTACTCTATACATTTGAACTAAAGAATTGGTTGTCCAAATATTTTCCTCCCTTTCTTTAGCTGAAAAATTCAGTCCATTAAAAATAACAACTCTACTTTTGGACAGAGTTTGGAAACATTAAAAAGCAATTAAGTCGTTAACAGATGCCCTCCGGCAGAGCATGTGCAATTTTACATGATTGCAACCCAGAAATTTTTGAGTTTTTTGGCAAGTGCTGCAGATTGTACTGTAATTCAATTAAACACACACTCTCAGAAAACACAGTTGTGCATGTATTTATATTTAACTCAGGAAAACTGATTTTAATGCTGAATAATGCAACAGTAGGTACTTAATTAAAAGAAGCAAAGATTAGACAAAGTAAAAACAAGTTTCTCTTTTTTCTCTCTCAAAAAAAAAAAAAAAATGGATCAATAGTAGGTGCTTAATTAAAAAAAGCAAAGATTCGATGAAGTAAAAACAAGTTCTCAAAAAAATAAAAAGAAATAGGTCTTTCCTTGGTCTTGGTTGTCAGCATTTTAAAAATCAAGTCATACTGGAGTAATTCTGAAGTTGACTTCCGCTCTGTAATATTACAAAAATGTTAAAAGATGTTTTTGTGATAAGACCGATTGCGATTTTGACAATGAATTAAACAATTTAATAAATATAAATGGATTGAAAAAATGTAGATATTGAAAACTAATTTATTTTTATACTTGGCTTTATGAAATGATGAAAAGAAAAGCTGAAAGAATGAGTGATTAGGCCTGAAAATCAATGCTGTGTTAGTGTGTTTGCACAGGTGCTTATGTGGGTGGATCATCTTCATCAAGTTTGGTGTGTGAAAAACAGTTTAGCATTGAGCAATGAAAGGAATTACCATCTTAAAAATATTTTTTTTCATAGGTCACTGATAAACAGTTTATAACAAGATGGAAAATTTTATCCTGTATGAAGAGATATTCCGGTCAGAATATTGCATAAGCTACAAGGGACGAAGAAAAGGCGCAATTGCGTTCGTTGCCATTCATTGCATCGACAAGAGCAAGCGACCACAGACGACAAACCGAGTGCGATTAACTCACGAACTCTCACACATCAATGTGGTCCAGTTTTTAGAGTGGTACGAAACAACGAACCACCTATGGCTTGTGGTTGAGCTTTGTACAGGTAAAATGTAGTTTTAAGCCCGATGCATACTGCATTGCCTAAAGGTCCCGACAAATAAATACGATCTGGATGCTGATACAATAAGTGCTGGGCATTAAAGATCACATTATTACATTCATCATGCTCTCATCAATATTATTGTCCATCTTTATTGTCATCATCATCATTGTCACTAACACTGATTTGGACTAATAAAATTGTATCGGTTGCTGACACTGATACAATATGTGCCGGGCATTAAAGATCACACATTGCGGTTATCATCATCACATTCATCATGCTGTCACTATCATTATAGTCCATTTTCATTGTCATCATCATTTATCACCAACATTGATATGGACTAATAAAATTGTGTTGGTGGCTGATGCCGATACAATATGTGCTGAGCATTAAAGATCGCATATTATTGTTATCGTCATATTCAACTTGTTGTAACCATCATTATTGTCCATCTTCACTGTCATGATCATTGTCACTAACATTTTTTTCATTACCATCATTCTTGTTACAGTACTATTGTATTGGTCAGACGTACCCAGTATAACATAGGATCCTCAAATAGCCTTTCAATCTGGCCTGTGTGAATCAACACTATCTATTAACACTATTATTATTATCTATTTGTCTTAATTGTGTACAGTATTATCGTGATTTAACATTTTTTTTTATACAAGAACAACCAAATTATTCATAATGTAGGAATAATCCTACCGTTAATACTCAAATACCACTGAATCTTGATTCAATATAAAGTGACTTTAGTTTTACCGAGACTTATTGAATACAGGAATTGCCACATATCTGTGCACTGCTAATTGGATTAACTATTTTCTGACTCTCTTAAATTTAAAGCTTATAACAAAGTTAATTATCCCAACACAAACAGTAGATGGTTATGACCTGGTTATAAAGTAAACTAAATCTATAGTGACAAATTTCGTATCGGCAATAAATAATTTTAGATGAGAAGTGGTAGGCAATACAAATCTATATACTATTAATGATGAAATCGGTGCCTGTGATTTGGAAAAGTTCATGTTTGTTTATAAGTCTCAAAGCTATAGTATAGTCAGTCTTTTTATTCTGACCTACTTTCAAACAGCCGTCATATTGCTAACATTACTTTTATCATCTTTCCCATGTATGTATGTTACAACATTGTGTTTTGTTAACAGGCGGTTCATTGGAGAGTATACTTGCCCAAGATGGCCATTTGCCTGAGAGTTGTATCTTTTCATTTGGGTTAGATCTTGTCCGCGGCCTGCACTACCTTCATTCACTCGGTATTCTGTTCTGCGATCTGCAACCATCAAAGGCAAGACAAATTTTCTTTTTTTAAGATGTATTGCCACTTAGTCTAAAATTTTAAAAAATACTCCAAAAATGTTAATATTTAATGAACTAAATTATTATTATTCATTAAAAAAGTATCTGTTTTAAAATTTATCTATATATTGTGTTGTTTATACTAGTTGATAATTTGGTTTTGTAAAATGATTATTATGTTCATATTTTGTTGTTGATGGAGTTAGACTATTCAGCACATATATTACCCTCACTATGTGCTAATTATGTACTGTGACAAATGAAAATAATAATTTTAATAAACTAATTGACATTACTGAGCTGAAGTTCGTTAAAGCTCACATAATTAATATTATTGTTATTGTTGTCCAATTAACACTATTATTTTTTTGACACTATTATTTTTTATTTTTATTAATTTATAATGCAATAGCTATGTTGAATACATCATATTTGAGTGCTGTAAAGTACTGCTTACAGTCGATATCTGTATTTTTTGAAAACTAGCGTCTGGTTTCATAACATTTATATTGAATGAACTGGACACTTTCAAACTGTGTTACTTCGGTGAGCCTTTATTATGTTTGAAGTCGTATCCACCTTTGTCATCATTAGCGCCATCTCTTGGTGTTTTTGACAGTGTTCAGCTTCTTGGGTTAATAAGGCTTTGGCATTTATAAGTCTTGTACTTATTTTGTTGTTTGTATGGTTTTTTTATTTGTTGATTTTTTGTCTCATAGGCCCAATAAAAAGAATTATTAGTTTATCACCCTCATCGTCTTCTATAGTATTGAAAAAAAAAACAGTTGAAAAAAAATTTTTTTTTCTCATTACTTTTTCAGACTAGATAGGGTGATAAACTAATATTTTTTTTTTATTAGTCATGACTTTGACTGTTTAATCATGTAACTAAAAATTGATTTTTATTGGATAGTAAACTAATAGTTTCCTATAATCTAAGGATTTTTGTAGCAAATTCTCTGTAGTAAATCAGCGAAAGTTTTGTTGTACCTATTTGTGGCAAAGACGAGCACATGGTTAAGCAGTCAAATAAAAGTTATAAAATGGTAAAAGAATAATTTAAATTTTCTTTATGAAGTTACATTTAAACATAAAGCTGTTTAAAAGAACAGTATTTGAGAAATCAGCTTTGAAAGTTCAAGATTTTGGCCATTTCTTAGGCAGAGACCATTACCAAATTATTACAAAATATTGTTTTAACTTTAGAAATGTGGAAAATCAACATAGTTTAGCATGATATAGATATATAAACTTTAGTAGATTTCAAAAATTTGGACATTCTATGGTGTTTTGGCCATTATTTTAGTAAAAAAAAAACTTGTGGGTAGTGACTGGTTTGCTTGTCTTTACCACCTTTATTATTTGAATAATGGAGACTTTTGAGACTAAATCTTGAACCATTCTTATTTGGTAAGCCATTCAACTAAAACTATACGAATGTATTAAATTTCTAATAAAGTGTCAAGATCCAAGATACTGAAATGTCTGTAATACATAATAAAATATATACAAAAATTAATTTATTCAGCAAAATTTACATAAACACCACATTACATGTTCAAACTAAAAAGTAGAAAAACGTGCTTATGTAGCTGCCAGTCAATTTTCTCCAACTAAGAATGTGTCCAATAAAATTTGAAAAAAGGCCCTCAACAATTTAATTAAAATATGTGAGCTATGGATCCAATACATGTCAATTTCTCTATTATTGTAAGTACACTGTAATAATATTTGTGTAGTGTAAAAAACTAATTCCGGGAAGTCATAAACTCTTTGTTTTGAAAGGCTAAATTCTAATTAACCGGCAATTCAAGAACCGCAAGGTGAGATGCCCTACGCAGATAAGAAGTTATGTACTTTGTTGACTTTTCCAAGCCATTACCACCTCATCTGGTAACCATTTGAAGAGGAGTGATACCTCTCTAAGTACAACTTTATGCGTCACTAATAATATGTAGGCGTCCATGCCACAAAACTGCAAGGTTGATTGTTGTTTAATGATGAGATTTGAGTTGTCCTTCAATTACAAATCATTAGTTGTATACTTCTGGTTTTGTCAAGGGATGACGTTTTTTCAAGATATCTTTGTTTAGGATGTCAAGTATTTTAAGATCTGTATTTTTACATCTACTGTTTTTTTTTTCTCAAAAATGTGTTGTTTTGAATTCTTCATACAAAATATATTCTGACTATTTTTATTAATAATTATTATTTATTTTTGTTGTTGCCAATTAATCATTATCTCCATAACTACTTATCACCATCATCCACATCGGCAACATCAGCATCATTACTGTTCTCATTATATCATTCTTGTTCATCTTCGTCATGATTATTATTGAACAGTATCATAATTTATCATCATCATTAACGACATTACTGTCAACCTTTGAGGCACAAGATTTTTTTTTTTGGAGGAGGAGGAGGAGGAGAGGCGTGGTCCCCATGCTACTCTGTAGTTACACCGATGCAATTGGCATCTATCCAGCACATGTGCTGGATATATTTAAGTAGACAAGCAAATATATGTACTGTATGGCCAAAGAAATATAGCTAAAACTAGTACTATTCCAATACTGTACCTTTATGTTGTTTTTTCTTTGGCTCCAGCTGGGATATTTCGAGCATTGTTAAATGCTAAAATATATTGTATAATTTTTGGAATTCCGATCATGGTCTTTTAGGGGACTTAGTGGCTGATTCTTATCAATCAAATTCTATCATGTTTAATCAAAACAATCGGACTTAAATAGTTTGAGACATTCTTAATTGCTGAGTTTATCCTCACTTGGGAATAAGTATTAGGTTTCCTGGTTCTGTATCAAACTGCAGCCAAACCAAATACTTGCAAGTTGTCAGAATTTGGTTTCATTTTGAGTTGTAAATTACTAGTGCAACAAGTGTTAATGTTTTGAAGGAAGTTGGAAGGTGTAGAACTTATGGGGACGGGAGGTTGGCTGGAATGGGATAAGCACGTCATTGCATTTTTGTTGTACTTTTGTCCTGAAATTTGTTTTAAATCTAGATGAATTCCATTTTTTCCCCAAAAAAGTTGTTTTATGTTATCAGACCAGATAATGTAGGTCAGCTCACCAGTTATGTTTTTGTAAAATTGTGAATTTGATCATGGACTAAAGCTCTGGAGATGTTTGTACTAGATAACACCTTCTGTTCAGTAGATCATAATTATAATCACTGAACAGTAAAAATGTGTAGAAAGAAATAAATGATATATAGATAGTATTTTGAGACTAATCTTATATTTTACTATGTACTCTGTTCATTCAGTGTAAAATATATATATAAAAAAAATGATAGGAAAATATCATGTTTTATTACCTGTAATATTGTACAATCTATTGGTTTGTTTTCTGAGTGACTTAAAACCAAGTGGCAGTACAATATAATAAAACATGATATGTGTATGAAATTATTGTTGACTTTGACAACAAGTTATGATAAAAATAGAATTTGAAAATTATTGTTGTAAATGTTAACTCGCAAAATGTTGTAAACAATTAATTTTATTGCTTTATTCTATGTTGCATAAAATTGAATGCAACTTTCTGATAAATACCAAATACATAATACAGGAATATGTATACATTTTAATTTTTACATAATAGATATCATGGAAAAATTAAAATATGAAATACCTGTTTTAACTATATATTTTCATTTTACTGATTATTAATTTCTTACAAATGAAATAGATTTTTTGATTGGTAAGTTTAAAAGTGGAAAACACACAATGGAATTATAATTTCATATTTTATCATCCGTAAGTCATAAATCTTTCGAGATTCAATAAAAAGTCACCCTACCCAAGTCTGTTGACACTCAGAGTCTAAAAAAAATATGAATTAAGAATTACTACAGTAACTTAAAATTAAAGAAGCTATTTACTTGGGGAAATCCTTCACTTAACAAACTACTCATTACAATATCACTCTTTCATTCTTATCATGACTTACCACAGTGTTCATCTTTAATAATGTAAAGGCCTTTATTTTGGTGGCCCTTTATTTTCACTATTCCGCAATTTGAAGTACTGTATTTCGCGACTTTTAATTTTTGTGATTTTTCAATTTCCCATCGTTTACCATTATGTTTTTTTAGCCTCTATTTAGCTAGAGCTTCTGATTTGGTGGATTTCTCCTAATTTTTCGAGCAATCTCTTGCTCTCCTGTAATTTGACAATCGCAAAAAACCTCTGCAAAAGTAAAGTGCTTTACAGTATACTGTTTATATGACTTACAGGTACCTTAGTATTTGTCTCCCCATACATCTGAAAAGTATATAAAGAGGTAGTAGCATAAGCAACATTGCCTGATGACGTCTCGCTGAGACATGTTGTTTATTAGTATAATTCATTTTATTAGATGAATTACTACGTTCATGTTAAATCCCTTATTTTTTTAAATTTCTTGGTACGTAATTTTTTTTCAGTTTGTTATTTTTTTTTATATTAATTCCAAAATGCTATACAAAGGTAAGTATGTTTTAAAAAAAAATAAACAAAAAAGGTTTTTCATCAGTGTTTGAAAGTACATTAAACTTTTATTGAAATTTATCCTGAAATAAAAAACATAAAAATTTTAATTTAAAATGTAATTTGCATATTTTTATATTAAGCCAAATTATTTATTAGTATTGTTCATTCTATTAGATGCATACTGCATCATCTTATTTCCATTAATTTAATTTTCCTAGTAATTTGTAAAAATGTTATTATTTCTTTTATAAAAAAAAAAACAAAACAAAATGTTAAACTTTTGAAAAAGGCTTTTTTCATCAATGTTTGGAAATATATTAGAAAATATATTATATTATATATTCTATATTAGAAAGAAAATTTATGCTGAGCTATAAAACATAAAAATTTACATTTAAAGTCAGTCTCTGGTGGAAAATTTATTTTGATATGTTGTGCAACTCATTTTTATAAAACACAAAAAGTATAATTAGTGAAAAACAGTTTAAATTAGA